TTTAACAGATAAAAGACAATACCATATTTGATTATCATAAGGCTAAGGTAAGATTGGATTTCCGCACACTTGCAGAAGAAAGGGCCTCAGTTTGTGAAAGGTGCATTCTCTGACTGACGCTTTCTTTACTGCTCTGTAAACACAGCAGTTACTGAGTTACTAATTATCTCCCACAAACTAACAGGTGCTTGATTTGATTCCAGCTCTTTCACTGCACTGTTGAAATAGTACATTAAGCTCCATTGACAGCTGCGTTTGGGTCGAGCCAATTGTGTTTACAGGTACAAAGTCTACACTACAGCTTTCAAATAGACCTTTGTGTGTCACTCCTGCAAATACAAAGAGTGTACTATTCTTCTGCAGGGCAGCTCAAGTGTAAACTAGGCAACACGTTGTTAGTGCAACTGAATCTTTTTATTTATTGAATCTTTTAAACAAACTGGTGTCAGCAAGTGCAAAGATAAACGTGCCATACCTGTTCCCCTTGCAGAGCGTAGTCCTGATCTTCTGAGCATTTGGTGTTGGTAAAGGAGCTCGCAAAGGGATAAGGGTTGGGCTGGGAAAACCACTCACATTACCCTTGCCACTCTGATAAATCTCTGCTTTCTCCTCGAGGCTTCCAGAAGTGTGTATTCCATCCAGTGTGTTATTCATATCACTCATGTGGGCCGGCTAAATCCAAGGCATCATCTGGAGCAGAGAGAAGAGACGAGCTGTTGGACTGTGTGCAGTTAGAGCAAGCTGGCTGGCGGGGCTCCTCTGCTCACAGCTCAGCACAGCAGAGCGAGCGTGCGCGCACACACACACACACACACACACAAAAGTCTCTGGCTCATCTGCCCACGAGGCTGGCCCAGTGGGGCACAACGATCCCTCCTACCCAAACATGATCCACCACAATAAAGATATTTTTAACACAATTACTCCAAAAGCAGCCATCTTTGCTCTCACACTACTAATAATAATTGCCTGATTTGTTCAGCCTCAAGTATTTTGTTTAGATTTTAGATTTTTTTTTATAGCTCCCTTTGAAACCTAGAAGGCAGAATATATGCACACAAAGCACACTTACACCAAGTGGATGACTTAAGCTCAGTAATAAGTAAATGAGGGCCGTCAGTTAAATAAAACAAACTGTTCTTTTGTCATGGACTTTGCACAGGGATCCAAATTGCACTTTAACTTAGTGCACTGCAGAAGGCATGTGGTTGTACAGAGTAGCCAGCCCAGCAGATTGGTTTTGTTGTGGGCTGTGTCATTCTGTGACAGGCTCCATGTGGGGGATGGTTGTGATGATAACATCTTTCTGAAAGGTAATGTGTAACAGAGTCTGACCAGGGGAGGACAGGCTCCTAGATATAGACCAACAGGCAGCATAGGGTTAAAGCAATACCTCACCACATTAACAGAAGACTGGGATAACTCAATTACTTTGGTATACATGACGTGCAGTGGTCCAGTCCCAGTTGTTTTACCTTCCAAGAGAATACCTTTTCTAACTGGAAAATCTCTTACAAAGATATGGAAATCAGACTTATCCAAATGACCTGTCCCTGTCTACATTAATCCACTCTCTCTGAAATGCATATTTCATAATAATACAGCCCTACATGGCTTGGGTTGCCTTTGAACATAATTACTATTATGTGCACGTAAAAAGCATAACATGAACACGAGAGAAACAGCTGATCACCAGAATACTCTGCACACTGATGTGGTAGTGCTTCTAAGACTTAAGAGGTAAAACCAGAACAGTAAGTCATGTTTTGGAGAGCAGACAGCAGCAGGAGATTGGGGGGGGTTCTACTGAGGTCCAACAGTGGACAGACACAAGGAGCATGAGGGACAGAAATAACCCATAACATAGAACACATTCCTTTGGTATCAGTCAATACAAATGCTAATTTCACTGGTGTAGGATGAACACTACATCTATTTTAAGACTTAATTACATAGTTTTAAATAACTGAAAGACATTTATTTTAGGACTAACTAACCAGCAGGGAGATTTATTGAATGTTTTCTCTGCAATATTGTTTTGTACGACAAACTACTAATTCATTCTCTTATAATGATGACTAAATGTCAAGTCAACACAATCATTTACTTGCAAAATTCAGTTTTTTTGTATGCTTTATGTTTGCTTTTAAGCATGCATGCCAAAGTATAGGGCAGTGAAAAAGTAAACAAAAAAGTGAAAGGTGTCAGTCCATTGCTATACTGTGTGTATGTATGGGGACCACCTAGATATGGTCATATTTTGTATCTTATTTAACCATATAATAAATGTTGGTTTAAGTTTAAACAATTGTTTTCTGTTATTATAAAATTAATAAAACCATTATCAAATCATGAATCAATGGGTCACAGTCTGTAATGTGAGTTTTTATATATATATATATATATATATTTTAGTTTTAATATAATTTATGGGATATTTTTTAAACACTCCATCCTGTTGGAGCTTAGGCCCTGGCTGCTGCCATTCAACCTCATCAGCTCAGTTTTCAGGGCCACAGCACCAGAAGGGTCTGCACTTAGTTTGCTGGCTTGCCAATTGCCAGGTCTGTAAGGTGATTGTAGTATAGACAGTATTTCTACAGCACTTCTAAAATGTAGTTTGGATTATCAATTTGTTTAATGGGTTGGCACTCTATTCTAGTCTTGCAGTCATCTCCTCACCTTTGCTAAAGCCATCCAGCAGGCCGCTCCTAAGAAGAGCATAGTCAAGGAGAGGGTGAAAACCGGATATTCCACCTTACTATCCAGTTGGAAATAGTGGCCAACAACCTGCGGCTGCTGGGTGTGTCCCTCACAACAGGTGTATCTCACTAAATGCTACAAGGTTTACAACCTCACCTGCCATAGGCTATGTTTTGGCATGTTGAATAGCTGCACTGCGCCACAAGGACATCTCCTTTATGCTCCATTGCTAACATTACTTACTATGTGGGTCATGCATCTCAGAAAACCCCTAACTTTTCCTATCAGTCTCCCAGCTTTTGAAGAGAAAGCAGAGGAAATGTGCTAGTCTATCCCCACTCAGCCAGCTCGCCTTGAGCACCCTGTGACTGATGCTCTCTCTGCCCGTCCACCGAAGACTTGAGGATCTTGTTACAACCTTGTCTCCTCCTGGGGATGTCCACAACCCGCAGAGAAGGAGGACTGAGTCATAGCAGGAGGGGTTGACCAGGCATGTGGCTCCCCTCTCCTTGGCTTTATGAACCTCACAGTGGAGGAAGATGGAACGGCTTGCTGCAATTGTCATGTTGTCTCAAATAATTGCAGTAGTATAGACAACATAGGTAATGCTAAATAATATAATGTGTTCAAGTTGAGCTACAGCTGTCCAGTTCAGCTTGATGCTCTCTGTCCATCTAATGTAAGGTTACTGCTTGTGACCTCTTTCAGTTGGCTTATGTGGAATGCCATGGAGTGAAAGCAGCTGTTGGAAACTACAAGGAGAGGGTGGTTGGGTTAACACTTGTGCTGCAGCAGCTTCTTTACAGACAAAATCCTACTAGCCCATTTATAATGTGAGACAGCTGTAATGATTCTTCTTACAACTTTATTGTGTCTTCTGAGTTGCTGTTAATGGCTACTACGTGTCACTTATAATTCATTGTATCATCTAAGCGTTTTATGGAAAGTTGTGGGGAAGAAAGGACAACCTAATGTTTTCCAAAAGGTTGTGCTATTTTAATCTGCTGCAAATGTATAAGGAGAACTTATTTTGAACTTAGACGGTAGGCCTAGGCCATTGTGATACAGAAACAGTGTTTCTCCCTCCTGTTTTGAGAACAGCAGTAGTTTGATTCAGGCTCCTTGTTGACATGGCATCTAATTTGAAAATCAAATAATTTAGTTTTCCAAGACTGTCTAAGGTCACATTGTTCCCTTGTCACAGAGTATCACAGCATAGGCTGTTAAAGGATTGTTTTTTAATTAATAGTTTCAATCATAAAAATGTTGTGTCCTTTATTTACACTTTAAAACAGTAATTAGAACATGTTAGGAACTGAAATAAATGAATCATTTGTAATTAAAAGAAGTTAATGCATTGTATATGAATCTACTTCTTTCCTTCTAATCGTCTGCACTTTACATGCGAGGTGGGAAGTCAAGCGTAAACGTTCCTCGCATTTTTAGCTTTTTAAACTAAGCACACAACACAACATTATTCATGCACTTACGTTAGCATGCGTTTTCAACAGTTAACTGCATAAACAGTGAAGGTGTCGAATTCAACACTGGTTGACAGTGGTATGGTGAGATATACAGTAGGCTATGTTATGTCATGGCATTTAGTAGGAATAATAGAGAACAGTTGGACGATGTCAGCAATTACTGTTTGTTTTGAAACCTAAATGCGTCGATAACTGTGTTATTCGAGGACTGCAAACTGGTATATTTTATTTAGGTGTGGGAGAAAGCACGACCTTGATGTGAAGTGTAACTGTAAAGTTTGTAGTAGGCTACTAACATTAGAAAAAAGTCATAGGAAGCTTCCGTCTCGATGTCTAACTATTTTCGAAAACATTAACGACTTCTGGGCTGTAAGTTTAACGTAAAATATTGCGAGAATTCTCCATAGTAAATGACTTTATATTATGAATAAAGAGCAGGCAATTCAACAACAAAGCATAACAATGCAGTGAGCAGCGAATCCGTAGCAGTGAGGCTACTGCTGCTTCCTACGCCAGCTCGAACCGACAAAAATATTCCTCTTTTCTTTTTACAGCTGAACTTACCTGTAGCCTCTTTCTCCAGTTTAAATCTTGAAAGCTGGTCTTCATATCGCTGCTCCCGTAGGGAATGAATATCACACGTGTAGCCCAGGTGCTCTACTGTAACGTGCCCTGCAGGACGTCACACACTGAGCACGTTTTACCTGTTGTGGATAACAGACCGTAGGCTATTCAACGGGAGGTGAGTTCAACAGTTTATATGCAACAAAAAACAAACAAAACACATCATTTACGCAGTCACTGAAGGCAACAAAAATGATAGAAGCTTTATTCATAACAACACAGCTTGACACAAACAACCTCTGTGTATTTAAATGCAAATAGTTTAATCAAAACTCTGCAATACTTAAATATATGTGTGGTATAATATAAAGGAGCATTTAAGTACCATAGGAAAAACCTCGTCTGTCCTCACATCCAGTATTATTTAGATAATACTTGTTTTTAATAATTTATAGAATTGTTTTCATTTAACGTTCTTATTTACTCACAACAGTAATGCATTAAATGCGATAGTCATCACACAAAATAAAAGAGAAGCTTTACAATATCAGGCCAGCGCCAGGGAAATTACTTAATGACATGTGAGAGAAAGAAAACAGATACAGTAATTATTAATTATCAAAATACATAATTTTATGTACACTGCTGGAGACTGTTAAAAGAGGTAAAGCAGACAGTTCGGACCGCTTCTGGGCCATTAAAGGTTTCAGGAAAGCTCCTCCTGGAAGAAAAGAATGGTTCAGGCATGTGTTGTGGAAACATTTGAATATCATATTACAATGACTGTTAGAATTTGCTTACAGTAGATGATGTATTGTCAAAAGAATGAAGGCACTGCTATGGATTACTCTCTCCTTCCATTTGAACAACCCCACCAAAAGATGTCGGTTCACCCTCTGCAACCTGCAGAGGGGAGTCTTTGTCGCCTTCCACGTCTCCTTTTCCACCATCCTGTGATGTTAAAAAAGGGACACAATTTATGTCATCATTAAGGCGGTCTTCCAGACAACGTAAAGATGAAACATAGACTGCATTATATTTTTACATGTTTTTTTTTTACAAGCCTATAAAACAACTTTATTCAGTCCAACAAAAGTAAATGCAGTAATATGATTGTCCTGCACAACAAGCATAAATGACCATGATGCCTCCAGTGAAAGGAGGAGTACCTCATTAGAGCAGGAATGCATGTTGCTCGATCATTAATTACTAATGGCTATTTGTCTATCTTGTCTTTATGTCTCTATCATTACTGTCCAACACATTACAGGCATAATAGACACAGAAAATCGAAGTGTGCTAACATTCATTGGATTACAATCTAATCACATCTGCCACCCATAAAGCTCAGATAGCAATGGGTTATGGAGTATAAAGCCTTCATCATTCAATTTCTTCTGCATGGAATATTCTGCTAAATTAATTCAAATGAACTGAATCAGTGGATTGAGCCCCTTGTTTAGTCCTTGAATAGATTTAATATGTCCATGAAAGTCAATGACATACCTTTGATCAGTGTAAATGGCTGATACGGCATTGAAAGGAAGCACAATTTTTTGTAGTTTCAAACTAACTAAAGCAGTTGTAGGATAACACTCTGGTTCACTTCTAACTCCTTCAAGGTAAAATCAATAAGTGCATTGCTGAGCAGTGGAAAGTGCCCTTCTACCAGAGCATAATCAGTTTATGAGGTAAAATGCTCTGCAGCTGTTCTGGTCTCATGGTTAGAAAGTAGTCCTTTGCTTCTTTCATCTTTATTTAGATTTTTAAAATGTAAGTTTATGCTATCAAAACTCACCTTAATCTCAGATAATCCTTCGGATTCTATGAATGATGAGCGATTTCGGATTGGGGATAAGGACGGTGAAACAGGAGACTGAGGAGACTGAGGCCCATGTGATAAGGAATGGCTCCTTTTTACAGCAGAGGACACGGCCTGGGCGAAGCGGGATGGGGTCGCAGGAGAATAAGGCCTAGCGGCGGCAAAGCTCCTTAATTTTTCCAAGCTTAACCCTGTAGTTGGTCCTTTAAATGGCAAACTACTTTGCCTAGTCATTCGCATGAAGGCAACATTCTTGTCATCCCCTTTAGGGCTCAGCTCAACATTAGCGCCTCCTGTTGTCTCCTCTTGACACTGCAAGGGAGGAGGAAGAGGAGGAGGTGGTAACTTTGCTCTCTCTGCGCTTCCTTGAGCCTCCCTCTGGATTCCAGGACTGGCATTAAGTTTCTTTTCTGCTGCTGAGGTGACATAATACCCAGGTGTTTTTTTGTGCTGAGCCAAGCGGAAAGAACCAGGCTTAGGTTTAGTTGCGGGTGGAATTTTCATCTCCTTGACCTCAGCTGGTGAACCTGCTTCAGATGCCACATTAGCCGAGGATGTGATGTTTTCATCTGCTATAGGTAAACTTGTTGGGGGTGAGGAATGAATTGAATCAGGTATACTTCCAATAACAGTGTCTTCTGTAGCAGTAGTAGTAGTCGTAGTAGTAGTGCTAGTCATTAAGTCGGTTTGATCCTCCGGCGCTGTGATCTCTTCCAACTGAAGAGCACCAATATCGAGTCTCTCTTCAGGAGCATCAGGAGGAGCCTCCAGTGTCAGTGCAACTTCAAAATATCTCAGTTTGTCCAGAGATTTCTGAGGCACGATAGTGTAAGTCGTCATCCCCATCTTGGGGATGTAATCTCTTGTCAGCTCGTTGGAAGGCTTGGGCTTTGGCTCAGAGTTTGTGGCATAAATAGATGTTGCCCTTGTTGCGGCGGGAGCACTTGGGGTTGAACCTTGGCACGATGAGGTCTCTGAGGTGTGGGGTAAAGAATCTTTGAGATCAGGCTCGTCCAGTTCCTCCGTTCCAGTGGCTATATCTTTTTTACCGGCGGTTTCAAAGGCAGTTGAATTAGCTGAGGAAGGGATTTCATCCATGGGTTGTTGTGGAGGCACAGGTAGTGGTGTGAAATCTGTTTGCGCTTGAGCATCCTCTTTAATGGGGCGCGATGTGCTGGTGGCCACTGGGATCTCAGGTCTGTCAGCCTGCTCCCGGAGGGTTTCAGTGTTTGTCTCAACAGAGGCCTGTGCTTCTGCATCTTGCATCACAGGAGGCAGAGGAAAGCTGCTGGGTAAAGTGCTACAATCCATCTTGGCACTTTGAGGTGCAGACGCTTCACAGATCTCCTGTTGGCTTACATGTTCAACTGGACATGGCCCATTATCTATACAAAACAGAAAATGTGTAATGTGACAGTTGAGTTGACTTTAATTGCTTCACTTTGGTGTAGTAAGGCAAAAATCATGAAATACACAAGTACTGTAGGTGCAATACATCTGCAGCACAGATATAAAAAAAGAGCACTATAAAAAAATGGCAAACCCACTATTATCTGCCAGTTCAGAATGGTCTGTGCCTTCAGTTGTCCTCACATCACTCACACTGGCAGACTCATTCACTGTACTCTGCAGTTGACTGTAAAAGTAAAGCAAAGAGAAGGAATTAAAAGTATTGCCGATGCTAATGCTAAAACAAAGCCGAGGTTGGAGAAGTGATATTAGAGTTCGTACTTGCCATCTGAGGATAGATCACAAGACTGATCTTCCCCATTTGCCTCCGTGGACATTGTGCTCAGTATCTCAGTATCTGGGGACGGGGAATGCAGTGAAGCGTCAGCAGACATGCTGAGGCTGCTGTCCTCTCCCTGGGTATCACTAGCAGTTGCAGACATTACAGAGGCAGTGGTCTCCTCTTGCTCCATAATCTCCTCCAGTGTGTTTGCAGCTACCCCACCTGTGATACAAAGACATCAAGTAGTTATATAAAATTATTAACATTTATTATACCTGCTATTTACCTACAAGTCCCTCCATGCCCATGCCCCCCAGTAGCTATCAGACATCCTTCGCCCACATGCCACATCCCGGAATGCGGTCTTCAGACTCTGGCCTGCTTACCACCCCCTGCACCAAACTGCATGTGCGAACCTTCGGGAATAGAGCCTTCGGTGTGGCAGCCCCCACCCTCTGGAACGCTCTCCCCGCGGAGATCTGCAACATCCCCACGCTTGACGCCTTCAAAAGGGACCTCAAGACCCATCTGTTTACTAAGGCCTTTGGCCCCTAATCTATTTGTTGTTTTGTCTGTGACTGGTTGTCTGACTGCCTTTTTGTTTTTGTTATGTTTGTTTTGCCCCTGTTCTTTTTTGTAAAGCGACCTTGGGTCTCATGAAAGGCGCTATATATATCCAAGCTATTATTATTTAAGTCAAATGTTGCAAAGATGATCAGTGGAGCAGTTAACATCACATGAAATCTATTATTTCAAGCGCATGTGTTGGCTGTAACTGTTGATGAGACTTGGAAATGGTAGGAAAATCTTTCACAAAATTTGCAAACATTTTATAGTCTCTTAAATGCGTCGTAATTTTAAAAACCCTTCCCAAAAAAAGGTTGTTTTGGTAAATGAGTTCCAAAAAACTATCTTTTACATCACAGTCTCCCTTGTGTAGTTCTTAACTTAGCGCTATAAGGAAGTGCATCACAGAAGACCAGAAAGCAAAAGGAATTTCAAGTTTACAAAACTGCAGCTTCACACTGTTCTCAACCTCTGATCTATTTATCTACTGAGAGGCACTGGGCTGCTTAGGAAACAGCAGAGGAAGGGATGTTTCTCTGTGAACTTTAGTCTTTTGTCTATTCTGAATGTTTTGATAGCACCTTAAAAAGGAGCAGCTTTTCTCTTTTCATTCTACATGTATAATGACAATAAATGCTTCTAATCTAATTGAAAGTTTTAAATATGAGAATAACAACAGGTAAGCAATTGTGTGTGTCAATAACAGTCATAAGTCAGTGATTACACTTTCTTATAATGAGTTCTGGGATATATGCACCAGTCAAGGGAAACACAGTTACAAAGGAGTAAATAAAAAAAGAAAGATACAGAAGATACAGTGGTTCAAACAAGCACTAGGCAAGAAATACAACCATGCTTAAAGGGTGTGGAATATACAGGACAACCGTATATACAATGATTGAAGTGAATTTAGTTCTGTAGTTTTTGTTATGCAAGCCAAAATGAATTGCCTGTTTGTTGATCAGACATCAGTTTATTTTGGTTTTCGGGAAATATTCTTTGTTTTTGGTTGAAATTGCTTTGTATACAGGTCAGGACGGGTGGAGCTTCCCTCAGCGGACAATACAGTGACGGGAAGATGTGTCTACACAATCACAGGAAAGTATTTCAAAGCAAGTTAATTATACTCAACAAAGGAAAATACCAGAGAATTCAAAACTTACAATAATCTTGAATGTAGAAAAAATGACTGTTTTCTCAACACACATTTGTTTATGGTTTTGATGTATACAACAATATTTCAAGGGTACCTGGATATTCAACTGGAGTTCTAAAGTAAAATAATAACTTAGAAAAAGAGGAGGGATATTACTATAAAAGTATTCCTTGAGTTTATAGGTTTCTATATAGACTCTAGAAAGCAGACGAATTTCAAGAGCTAATACAATGAAAGTCAACAAAGGCAGTACAGTACTTGCAAGCAAAACAAGTGCAGCCTAATTTCTTAGATGAAGCCCAAAACAAACAAATGAAGCAGAATCTTTAGTTTAAAACCTACTAAGATTGATATTTCCCATGCTCCTGCCACCCTCGAGTATTTGTTCCATGTTTCAACAGGGCTGAAGAACGTTTTTTAAATAAGCCACCGTTTAATAATGACCACTAGGAGGCACAATAGTCATATAGAAACTAGACTCAGGCTACAGCATTTTAAAATACCTGTCCTGGAAGCCAAAGTACACATGACAAAATCATTGATGAAAAGGACAGGCAATATTCAACTCAGTGATTAAACAATTAAACATATACACAAATGTAATCGAAGACTAACCTTGCAAAGTTTCGTCCAGAGGAAGTTTTTCTTGGACAGCGGCGCTAGGGGACTTGGGGGGCGGAGGAGCTTTGCGTTTGGTTCTCTTAAGCGACGACTCTGCCGAGGAGCCACGGCTTAAACCAGACATCTATGGTACACAACAAGATTCAATTATTATAACCAATGCACCAAAAAAAACTAATGGCTGTCATTCACATAATTGTTCAAGGCTATGCTGACATTTCTAAATATTCACTCACCGGGTCGCCGTCCACCTGGCAAATAGGTTCAGAGTTGAGTCTCCGGCGAATGCTGAAATCGGACGGGCAGCTCTGAGACACCAGAAGTGGGGGTTGGGGGGCACGTCTCTTCTTTGGCACATCTGTAGGTAGCGTAGTGGAGCTATACAAGGACGAATTGGAGCTAGGTAAGGCCATGCTGAGAGGTCGAGGCTTGATCACAAGCACAGGAGAAGCTGGAGCACTGGCTGTCGTTGCCTTTAAAGAACAAACACCCAATCAGAACATGATAAGAGGCCTGTTCCAAAACAACATTGTGCACGTCAACCAATGGCGAGCCAAAGTAAACAAACCTCCCTCTGAACATTTCAAGGTACTCTCTGATACATCTGTATATTTGCATAATCAGTACATGAAAGAAGAAGCTGCATTACCTGGTCAGATTTTTTCTTGCTTTTTCTAAATTTGCTAAAGAGGCCTTTATTTTCTTTCTCTTTTTGATCTTTGTCTTTGCCCGGCGTGACTGCAAAAAACAGTTGATAGATAACATTGGTCAGAATGATGACTGCTCTGATAAAACAGTCATACAGTCTACAAACTAATACCTGCATGCACGGGTGAGGCTGGACACACAGGAGAAACAGGTTGTCCTGCAGGGCCAACAAGCATACGATTTATAAGCGATATAAACAACAATAACATGCAAAAAGTGAGTTGAAGTGAATGAGTAGTATGATAAAATATCGTTCCATATGAAGCAAGAAGTGATTTTTTAAATCAGTACTTACCACTCATGTCTCTTGCATAAACCTCCCTTATTGCATAATCATTAAGAGAGTTGGACAAGTCCAAAGGGGCCAGTGATTGGCCATCTCTCAACAGAACTGTAGTTCCCATGTCAAATTCACATTTCTCACAGATTGCTGGTAAGTGTTCAGACAGGGGAACTCGAGGACTGACTCGCAGTATAGTCTTCTGGGTCTTTTTGTAGTTTATCACCATCCGAACAGTTGCCTAAAGAATACAAAACATACCACCTTATTTGATCAAAACGTACTCAACATGAAAATCATGCATTGTGTCATGCGTTGAGCGTACCTCAGGCATCTGAGGACCGGTCTTCTTGTTTTTATCCACCCCTTTAGGCTTAAGTATGATCTTCTCTGCATCCAAAGTTCCTACGAGAGCATGTGGCTTGAGTTTGGTGTTGTTCTTCTTGGCGGTGACCAGTTCTAAGGTGTGGCTTGATGGGTTCAGGTGGTACTTTGCACAAAGCGTCACTAACAGGTCCATTATAGGTTTGCTGAAAGACATGAAGGACACAACAAAACAAAAACAAATCATTTGTATAGCATGAAAGGGGAAGACAATGCAAAATACAACATTATGATGAATTTTAAAACAAAAAAGGAAAAATATGTTTATTTGACAGTTGTAATAAATGAATTTCCTTTTTTTCCAAACAATAATATTCCAATAATTATAGAGTAAACATTTTGAATTTAAAAAGATGTTGGAACGTGTGGAAACAATAAAAACTAACTTACAGTAAATTACAGTAGCAAGAAAGTAGCATGGGGCTTTTGTAACGCTGATAATACATTTTATCAGTACAATGCCATTATCCTCCAAATAAAGTGTTAACTCTGCTGTGTAGGCACTTTAGGGTTTAGAGAAAGAAAGAAATAATGATATCTAAAGTAAACTCTGTTAATGGAAAGTATGAGCTGTGTGAGTGAGTAGCGTAATTGAAGGACAGATTGACATAGAGGTATGTTGATACATATAAATATGTAGGTGTTGCAGAGCTAGCTGATGATTTCAAGAGTATTATCTGTGTCCTTATTGCGCCATAGCATGCAATCATGAGATAATCTTCTGAGTTTGAGATGCAAACGCTCTTTAATTCTTGCTCGTATCATTTGTTGAGAGAAGAAAATAACGCAAGTACAAATTTCCTAGAACAAATATGAACTAAAACCTCTCAGCTACTCCACCTATCTGACTCAGTCTGACTGGAACTGCACTGTTTGACTTGAAGTGACATCATAATGTAGAATTACAATGATCAGTATGAACAAAAACACAATGCTCCAACTTAAATTGGATTGCAGTGCTCCAACTGTACCTTCCATGCACCGTGGTCACTTCTTCCACTCCGTCAGGCAGAACCACGACCAGAGAGAGGTCTTTATCAATGAGGTTCTCCTTCTGGTCCATGGCTAAATGAAGGTTTCCTGGGTACCACTGGGAATAACCTGGGGAATCCAGCTTCTTTAGTCCTGGGGGGGATGGTGCTCTGCTCTTGGTCGACACCCTGTAGTTAAAAGATAAATTATTTTCAGAGTAGCTTTAGCATTTGTGAAAAGTCTGCTTTGCTTTAACACAGGACAAACATGTTATTACTTTAGAGATAACTGGGAATGGTTCTCCACTTACATGCATGTGTGAATTTCTTAAGTCATTAAAACTGTTTCTGCTATTCCACACAATAATCTGATTGAAAAACAAAGTGCAGCAGACAGCATGAAAGGAATCCTTTCTTCCTCAGCTTTTAAAAAGCAGTGAGGCTATTACATAAAAGAGCTCAAGTCCACTTTGCAAACAAGTCACAAGAAAACCAAGTGGACAGATTTACTCATTGAGCCTGAAGAAATAGCTGTGAACTGACAGACATGTGAGAGATAATAAGACGCAAGATGGAGACCACAGTTTCTGTAACTTTAAAAAATGTGTTTTATAGTGAATGTTGTGGTTTAATAACATTTAAAGTATAGTGTCTGGTGTTTTGTGAAAAGGGGCAACACCCAATGCACTAGTGAACATCACTTGGTTTGCTAGTATTCTTTTTTTAAATTGTGACTCTGACAAAAACATTTCTGTTTTGCAGGGCATTTTTTAGTGTTTGTCTTTGTTTAACATTATGGAAAATACATCAATACAGTGTAGGTGAGGGCAGTCATGTGACCCAGTAGGGCACAGGCCAATATATTTCATATACCGTACAACTATTTTCATTCATCACAAGATTTGTTGTCAGCTGGCCATCTGTTGGAGAGTCATACATAGTAATTCTATGACGTATTTGAGATAATAACACCATTCTTCTAATGCTCCCCTAGAGGTTGTGAACAATGAAAACCTGCTGTCTGTAAACAAAAAAATGTGTGTGACTTAAACCGGGTCATTATAACATGGTTTTTAAACACGCAGGAACATCCATGGCTACATAAGGGAAGCCAATGCGGAAGTGTCTTCTCATTTGTTACCTATGAAAAAATAGTTCCTTATAACTTTATAGTCTCATTACAGCATAATGGTAATTTTGTACTGTATGCTTCCATATAAGGTAAAATACATAACAAAGAAGAGTATGCTTTAGGGTGGGGCTACCTTGGGATTGACAGGTCTCTGTTATTCCGGTTTGGGTGTTGTCCGTGAACACCTTCACACTTGTGTTTTTAGTTCAGAAAGGTCATTCTTAAAAATGTTTTTCCTAAAATGTAATTCGAAGCATTAGATTGTACTACTCTTCAACCTTGCGTACCACTTTTTCCCCTAAAACAAAGAAGACAATGGCCAACATGACAAACAAATGTCCATTCATTATATTCAGTCCATGGTTTTAACACATGATATTTGGCGTTATTATTCGCTTAAAATTAAAAGCTATAGATGGTATGATAAACACACAATCACATAAAGTCACACAAAGGTCACACTGTGGTACTGCAATGTTATCAAGTTGTTCAGAGGGCCAAGGAATCAATAACCTCAGAGACATTCAAGTGTCACATCATTCAGTCAGCACATAGATAAAACAGGCATTTGCAGACCCAATGCCTTGAGTTATAGCCTGCAAAGTCTCTGGTGGGGGCACTGCTTATTCAAACAGAGGAATCCGAGCAATGCAAGGTCACAGGCTCCACTGAGGCACGTCTAGCAAAGGATTATTAGTCTTGCTATGGGGGCTGCTGTCCTTAAATACTAAGACCATGACATACATGTAAATGAAAACACATAGGCCCACACATTTTATCATTCATATCATCAGTGGTTACATCTATTAAGTGAGGATTACAATACAGACTACACGTTTAAAAAGGAAAAGTTAACACAAACCAAGTGTGTGCAAGTCGGCTGCATCAACAAAACCAGCTAATGTGTTAGCATGCTATTGCTACTGCCAGCTAAGACCTGAAGATGTGTTTGAAATAGCTAAATATGCCACAATGTGCCACATAGCAATGTAAAAAATAATGAACTATTCACTATCACTAACATCCACCATTAATGTTCTGATATAACCAGTGTTGTTTTCTAACAACTGACAATACATCACATGGCTTTCTTGTGAATGTTGAACAAGTTTAATGATTTCAGACACAGCCACAATGTCGGAATTATTTTTGTCACGCTTTGGTGTCTGCCTTTGTTGAACCAACTACATGTCAGGCTTTGAAATCCAATGATGTGTCTGAGGAATGTGTACTGATACACTAAAGGTCAGACAAACACACAGGCAGTACAATAATTTGAGAAAATTAGGACCTGAAGCAGCACAAAAACAAAAAACACAGGACACACCACAGACGGACTGTTTATCTGTTCATCTTTAAGCAAACAGTTCAGCCAGGATGATAAAATCACAAAATCTAGCACAGTCAATAATGAACAATCCCAAATAAAATCCTGAATGCTAATTTTGTTGACTCTGCTCTGGTGTTTTTGAAATTAACAACTTTGTTAACGGTCCAACTGCAGACCTCTCTCCAGGGGAGCCCTGGATTTGGTCATGCCAGCTACTGTATTCCAAGATCTGATATGTTACCCATTGGTTTGTTTTCAAATCCCTCCTTAATATTTGATTAGGTCTTAGATCGTTTCAAACTAGCAATGTAATGAAAAGGGTTGTACCCATATAGCTTGTTAGAAAGACTTAGGAGATGTTCATGTTGTTTCCTGGAAACTTCTTTAGCAGGAAGCATCACGTCATGTATGTTACAGTTTGAGGCCAAAATATATATATAAAAGTGAACTAACAATCTTTTGCAAGTGCATGTTATTTATTTGTATGCACAACCATTGTGAAATCTGTCAGGAGAGTCCTTGATAAGCAAGTTTGCTAGCCTTGAAAATTTAGTCTCACATCATAGGTTTGCAATTTAAGTATTATTGTTGCCATGGTTACTTGTGGTTCAATATTTAGCAAGTCCCTATTGCAGTAACTTACAACAGAGGTTAAACTGCCAACAACATCTTTGTCTGAGGTGTCCTGTTTTAGGTTCTGCATTGTATAAGATTTGAAATATAGTTAAATCTCCATTCTTCAAATGGTTAATTGGGAAATACTTTGGTAGAGAGAGCAAGACTATCACCTACTTATAAAATCAGGGTTTAGTGTCATTGTTCTATTTGTAAAACCAACACATTTATATAGTTTGTTCTTGCCCCTCTCATCAAATTGGTTTCCAACGGCTGCCTGTTTTAGCAAACAAGGCAAAATAAATCCACTCCAGATCAGACAGCAGACAAAGTTCACAACCAGCTGGTGCAGACAGACAAACATCTAATGAGCAAATGTAAGGCATTTGTCTAAAGAGCTTCTGGAGACCAACAGAAGTTCAAAGTGCATAAGGGAATTAACATTTGTAATTGCAACTGTAAGCAGGCACATTAGTCATAACAGTATAAGGTAAGGTTGTGATAAATCCATGTTCAGTGCTGTCTGTGTTTCAATGCATCTTTTTGATAACTGAAAATGTTGTTTTTCCAATTTGACAGATCCAGATGACTGAAATGAAGAGTAAACGCCCTCTATCTGGCTGCTGTCATTTCCTTCAAATCATTGTGCAGTAACTACACAGCCACATGTAGCGACTGTATATCTCTTGTCTGAGAAAATAATAGCTCACATGTGCAACAAAGGGATTTCCCAAGTCCCCTTCTGGTAAACACACCTCTGGATTACCTGAAGAACACAACAATAATTACTCCTACAGTGATGTCTACAGGCGGCCACTTTGCTTGTATTACAATCTGTTGAATCCAAGTGTCTCTTTTCCATTTCAATCATTATGTGTTCAAAGTATTGCAGTTATACTGAATTACAAAAATTCAAAAAAGTGTCTTAATTAAAACGGGTTCAATGTGATCATGATTCCAAAAAATATCTTTCTCATTGGAGTCACACAGTATGATTGATTCAATTTTTTTGTGTGTGTATGTTAATAAATATGTTTTTGAAAAAATTGACATGAACATCGGTCATTGTCTACGTTTCCAAACTGACAATTATATGTAAGTGCTTGTACAGAATGAGACTCCACTTGCACAACCTGGAGCAAATATACAGTAGGCTACTATCTATATGTTTCTGGTGTTCTTAGTATGCTGTGTTGTCAACGATCTTTGTTTTATGATTAATCTGAATGCTGCTTTAAGCTAGATCAACCTTGTTTAATACTAGGAAACTCACTCACGCCAAGTTGCCATGACATTTGCTGCCATTATTAATTTTCGCCAATGGAATAAACTTTTTGGGTGGCATAAGCAGTATGGCATGTTACTCTAACCCTGTGATTGTACCATTGGCAACATTAGGGATCAGCAGTGGATGTTTTGAAGTGCGACCGTTCTCAAACCTAACTTAGCGAAGGAGTGTTTGATTAATATTCACTTACAGATTACACATGGTAGGTGTGTGGAAACACTGAATATGACTGAAATCCCTGCTAATATTTCAACAGAGCGACTGGCTAAAACAGGCATTCACAATGTGGCCTCTACTGGGTACAAAGTCCTGATTTCATGGCACAGGCTGTTTATTTGGCAATGGGATTATAATCATTTAGAAACACTGTTACTAAACTTTTATTTTTCCACACATTTCACAAATGCTGTAAAACTGAGCCTGGTTGATTGAAATGATACAGCTGTCCTGACTCATGTGCTCTTCCAAAGAAAAAAACATGTGATATTTCAATAAGTAATGGTATTAGTATGGAAGAAATGCAAACTAGCCATGCCTCAGGTTCAGGGTCAAGGTCAGTCCAGTTTATACAGCTGTGTCATCAATGATTTTGTCAAGATACCTCAAGCAGGTGACAGACACGGACACACAGGCCGGTTTGTTTGTGCCATCCAGGCCTGTGTTTTTTCAGAAGCCCAGGATGTGTTGCTGAATAAAGGGAGACGTGTTGAAGCTTGACTGCGCCGATGCCTCATTCACAGGACTTCCCTGGGAGGTCTGACACTCACAAACAAGCCCATTCAAAACCAGAGGACATGCTTTAGAGAGGTGATCACCAACTACCA